CAATGTCAGCCGTGGATCCAGGAGGACTCCCAAGTTGCGGGCCCTCTCTGAGGGGGCCAAAATTTCGCCCCCTATAGTCAGCGATGGGGTCAGCTGACTATGCCGAGGCGCCGGCATGCCAGTTTGTCAAGTGCCCAGATTTTGATTTCATGACCCTGGGCACTGTAACCACTGACAATGACCCTGGGCACTGTAACCACTGACAGTAGTTGACAAACGAATAATAGTAAGTCGAAGTACCTCTATTTATTTTACAAAGGCACCATGCAATTAACCAAACTCCTTCTGAACTGTTGAGAATGGATGTCAGGGACATGCGCAGCTCCCATACAAAGTGCCCATCAAGAAAAACATCATCTCCTCAAAGGTCTCATCCCCACCCAGAAAGAAAAACTAAGGAGAAGAGGATAAATAATATCTGGACACAACATGCCGAGAGACAAAAAGAAAACGTCATATTATCACTAACGAACAGGTTATTTCATTATACTTAATTTACTTCCCAATCCACTCACCCACCCGATACTCAGGAAGATTTTTTTATTGCACAGGACACTACCGCTCCAGAATGTGTACCTTCTTCATTGGTTATGAGCACCAATGCAAGCTCTGAAGTCATTCCACAGTTACTAAGTTCAGTGCAGAAGCAAGAAATAAATACTTGCTGCTGCACGATTCTTCTACAACATACCTGTCTCAGAAGCTGGGACTACATTTATGTGTACCGTTCCAAAGGGAGGTAAAAGGACGTCTCCAAACATGCACGGAGGGGTGGGAGGATGCTCTGTCTTCACTCCAATCACATCATCTGGTCCAGCAACCTGAAAGAAAAATGAAAGGCTCAACGGAGGAATTAAGTTTCTCCATTTTGATGCCTCTCAAGCATCTATATATATATAAAAAGCCCACTTTTGTTTTTAAAGAAAGGCATTTATATGCTTTAGAGGATGGTTTGTATTTACTATTTCTGGCAATTTTTGATGACAACTATTATACCTTACCGGTTATATGGAGTAAAGGAGGCGTTTCTTCACTATCATGGTGCCTTTGTAAAATAAATAGAGGTACTTCGACTTACTATTATTCGTTTGTCAACTACTGTCAGTGGTTACAGTGCCCAGGGTCATTGTCAGTGGTTACAGTGCCCAGGGTCATGAAATCAAAATCTGGGCACTTGACAAACTGGCATGTATTCAACCTATTCTCCAAAGCGCCTGAAGGCAGGACAAGGAAGCAACAGATGGAAACTAATCAAGGAGAGAAGCAACCTAGAACTAAGGAGAAATTTCCTGACAGTTAGAACAATTAACCAGGGGAACAACCTGCCTCCAGAAGCGGTGAATGCTCCAACACTGGAAGTTTTTAAGGAGAGACTGGACAGCCATTTGTCTGAAATGGTATAGGGCAGTGGTGGCGAACCTATGGCACGGGTGCCAGAGGCGGCACTTGGAGCCCTCTCTGTGGGCACACGTGCCGTTGCCCCAGCTTCGCCTCCCCCCGCAACCCCCTCCTCTCCAGCAGCCCTCCTGAAGGAGAGTCGCCCCGAGTGTGGCCCACGCGGAGCAACGCAGCCAAGGACATGGCAGCCAGGCAGCGTAGACAAGACTCTGTCCTCACACCCCATCGTGCACAGTTGATGCTGCAGGGCGTGGGCAGAGAGCGTGACCACCATGGCACTGCTGGGCTGCCTGGGCGATCTGCGGCGGGCCCTGGAGGTCGTGAGTGGCCCTGCGGCCAGGTGGGGCGGGGGATGGGGGGGCAGAGCGGGGGTGGGGCAGGGGCGGGCCAGTTTTTGGGCACTCGGTCTCTAAAAGATTCGCCATCACTGGTATAGGATTTCCTGCCTGAGCAGGGGGTTGGATTAGATGACCTCCAAGGTTCCTTCCAATTATTATTATTATTATTATTATTATTATTATTATTATTATTATTATTATTATTATTATTATTATTATTATTATTATTATTATTTAGTTGCAGCATCCCCGGGTCATGTGATCACTGCTTGCAATCTTCCCAGCCAGCTTCCAACAAGCAAAGTCCATGGGGGAAAGTTAGATCCACTTAACGACCGCAGGATTCATTTGACCGCAGTGATCCGCTTAACAACCATGGCAAAAAAAAAAAAGATCATAAAATCAGGTGCAACTCGCCTTGCTTAGCAACGCCTTGCTTAGCAATGGAAATTCTGATCCCAATTGTGGTCTTTTTCTTCCGCGAGTACAGTTCTGACGCTATTTACGCCCAAGTATTATTTATCTACTTCAAATGAGGCCATTTTGAAGGACTACCTTTACGTGTATTAACATTTGGGCACTGTGCTTTGTCTACAAAGGGATCTCTGAGGAGACCTACCTGCTCTGAGAGTTCGGCGGAAGAGGAGCCTGCCGCAGAAGAATCGGAGGAGGCCAACGATGAATCGGAGCAGTGAGACGAAGCAGGGGAGACTGGCTCAGATTTTACTTGCAACTCTAAAAAAGGGAAAAAAAATACTTAAGACACTTTCACTGCCAGCCTGCTGATCCAAGACAAAAGGAAACTGTGTTTCCTCTCTGCCTCTCGTACATATTATCCTTTCCCACCTACCTGTCCTCCCCACCTGCAATTTCTACAGTCAGCTCTAAGGGCTGAATCCCAAGGAAACCACCTTTATGGACTTCTCACCCCATTCAGCTTCAACTACCATGCCACCAGTTCCCTCCAGCTGGGCCAACAGAAGAAGCAGATCTCTCATTCTTGCCCACCTGAAAGCTGTAGCTCTCTGAAGGCATGATGAGGCAGCTATACTTTCCTGCCTATAACACCCAAAGGAGAAACAAAATCCCCTAACAGCAAGCCCAGAACCCTAGAGCTGAAGAGTTATCAGGTCCACAAATTACCTTCTCCTCAACCCTATGGCCATTTTCCCCCTCTCTGAATGATAAAAGAATCTGATTATCCAATACAGATTCACATTTCTTATGTCTTAATTCAAAAACCAAGGCATGGAAGAAACCAACAAGTAACCTTGTGATCAGAAGTTAACCACTCTGCAGAATTGCTCATACCACAGCTGCACACTGCTACGTGTAAATTTAACCTTTAAGATACAGAAGGATCTGGACAGACTTGAACACTGGGCACTATCTAACAAAATGAAATTCAATGGTAAAAAAAGTAAGGTTCTACATTTAGGCAAGAAAAACCAAATGTACAGGTATAGTATAGGGGGCACCTTGCTCAATAGTAGCAACTGTGAGAGGGACCTCGGAGTCCTAGTGGACAATCACTTAAATATGAGCCAGCAGTGTGCTGCAGCTGCCAAAAAAGCCAACACAGTGCTAGGCTGCATTAACAGAGGGATAGAATCAAGATCACGTGAAGTATTAATACCACTTTACAAGGCCTTGGTAAGGCCACACTTGGAATACTGCATCCAGTTTTAGTCATCACAATGTAAAAAAGATGTTGAGACTCTAGAAAGAGTACAGAGAAGAGCAACAAAGATGATTAGGGGACTGGAGGCTAAAACATATAAGGAACGGTTGCTGGAATTGGGTATATCTAGTTTAATGAAGAGAAGGACGAGGGGGGGTGACATGATAGCAGTGTTCCAATATCTCAGGGGTTGGCCACAAAGAAGAGGGAGTCAAGCTATTCTCCAAGGCGCTTGAAGGCAGGACAAGAAGCAATGGATGGAAACCAATCAAGGAGAGAAGCAACCTAGAACTAAGGAGAAACTTCCTGACAATTAGAACAATTAATCAGTGGAACAACCTGCCTCCAGAAGCGGTGAATGCTCCAACACTGGAAGTTTTTAAGAAGAGACTGGACAGCCATTTGTCCGAAATGGTATAGGGTTTCCTGCCTGAGCAGGGGGTTGGACTAGATGACCTCCAAGGTCCCTTCTAACTTTATTATTATTATTATTATTATTATTATTATTATTATTATTATTATTATTATTATTAACCTTTAACTTTTTCAGACACACACTGCTATCTACCACAAGTACTGTCTGCAATAGACCTTGCCCAACTAATCCTTTCCCAGAGCAGTTCCTATCACGCCTAAATATTTGATTTTGCAGTTTAACTATGCCACTTGAAGAACAGCTGGGAATGTGCCTCCATAGATTTGCAGTAATAATTAAACTTGCATAGCTACAGAATTCTAATTAACAGGAAAGTGACTTGCAGTTCATGGACTTTTAATGGGTTCTGCAGCGCATCTACTCTTTAAGCAATATATCGCAGCCAAGATAACATCCAGACAACAGGACAAACGGTCAAGTCACAAGTTGCATGCAGCTTTCAGCCTCAATCAGGAAGGAAGTCAGACATGGGGAGGCGGGCAGAGGACAGGGAAGAGGAAAGAGCAAGCAAGTGAGCCTCTTATCTCCTCTGCTCTGCCTTCAAGAAGGAGTTTAACTGTCAATCGGTTAGAAAAACTTGCTCCAGTTTTGTGATGCAAGACAGACACAACCTTATTTTTGCTCATTACAACTCTTACTGCACAAAAACTACTCCTAGGCAAATTATTGCACTGCCCAAAACAATTCTAGCAAGCAGAAATAAAAACAATTTTCCTGGATCAGATCAAAAGCTCATGTGGGCAATGATCCAATGAGGTGCTTCTGGGAAAGCAGCAGGCCACAGAGACAAAATACATTTTTTTCTCCTACTCAAAAGAATTTTGCTACTAAATATAGATACCTTGTCCAACATTGTCTATTCCTGTTGGCAATGACTCACCAAAGTCTTCCTAAAGGTATATTTTTTAATAGAAGATATCAGAGATAAAATCTAGGATTTCTAACATGAAAATACTCGTCTCTGATCCTGTTTGCCAAATAGCAGTGAGTAGGCAGGTTATACATACATTTGTATTTAGCTGAGATGGTAGGATAGCCTAACATAAACCTCTTCCTTATGAATATCCTCCTACTCTTATCATTTCCAGAATGATACCATCTATTTTTTGCAGAAAATACAATCTTGCAATAATCATCTTAAAAATCAATGGCTCTTATAAAAACCTTTCTGAATTACAGCCCACTTAATCAGGTTCACCAGATCCCACAAAGCAGGGGTGTGAAACTGCCGGCCCACGGGCCAGTTGCATCATACAGATGCTGCACCCACCCCAGCTCCGGCAATGCAAAAAAAGCCGCAATACGTCACGACACGTCACATGATGCGGCGAGTTTGACACCCATGCCACAGAGTATCCTCGGTTCTGTAACAGGTTCTCAACAGCCTGCCTAGCCACGGCTTCATGAAAGTACTCACCTGGGAACAGAGATTCTTGCAAAGGATCCCAAGGTGGGTCTGGAGGCATAGTTTCCATGTCCAGATCAAACCCATCACCAAACTGCTGGTATAGAAAGGAAGATATAGAAAACAAAGCTTTTCATGTGTAGGAAACAATAACCCTGATTCCTTCTATCTAAGGAACAGAGTGTGATGGCAGTGAGTGGATATGTAACTGAGAAGGTATACAGGTAGTCCTCGACTTACAAGTTCATTTAGTGACTGTTCAAAGTTACGTTGTCACTGAAAAAAGTGACTTATGACTATTTTTCACACTTAACTACCATTGCAGCACCCCCATGATCATCTGATGAAAATTCAGACAATTGGCAACTGACACATATTTATGACAGCTGCAGTGTCCCGGGGTCATGTGACTACCTTCTGCAACCTTCTGACAAGCAAAGTCAATTGGAAAACCAGATTCACTTAACAACCATGTTACTAACAACTGCAATGATTCACTTAACAAAAGAAGCAAGGTTGTAAAATGGGGCAAAATTCACTTAACAAATGTCTCACTTAGTAACATAAATTTCGGGCTCAATTGTGGTCATAAGTCATACTTCCTGTAGTTTGGAGTTCCAGTTCAATCAGACTTTCAGGCCTAGAGATAATCTCCTTGGAAATGCAATCTAAAATTATACACATGGCATGCCAGTCATTGTAACTGGGAATATATCCCCACAACACATTCTAATGTATAAGCCACATTGAAAAGAAATTAAAAAACCCAAGTGGCAGGGATGGGAGTGAACAAGATGCTAAAGTATATTGAATTCAATTTTTTATAAAGTTATAGAGGTGGGGATAGAAAGAGAGACTTCAAATTGCTGAGAAGTGTATCCTGCCATGGAGGCATACTGGAAAGCAAATAATATTCTTCTAAAAGCAAAGGTATTCTCACCGCAGAACGGGTACCATTATGGTCCATAATGCTGTGTTCAAGACAAGGGAAAAGTTCAGCTGCCACATCTCCATCATTATCCAAACAGCTGTAAAGACCTGCATCTGTAGGAACAGCAGCACAGTGCAATTGGGTGAGGAATTAGCTGACTCAGCCATGGGTTATCTCTAAATAATAATAACAATCAAACAATATCTGCTTATCCCAGGTCCTTGGGAAGGACCCAATAATGCAGGGGTCTTCAAACGTGGCCCTTTTATGACTTGTGGACTTCAACTCCCAGAATTCCTCAGCCACCGTGCCTGGGAGTTGAAGTCCACAAGTCATAAAAGGGCCAAGTTTGAAGACCCCTGCAATAGTGGATAAAAATGTCAAATCCAGTCTAAACATCTAATCCAGAGGTAGGCAACCTTGGCTCTTTTATGACTCGTGGACTTCAACCCCCAGAATTCCTGAGCCAGCATGGCTCAGCTTGGAAACCTCCCTTTCCCCTCAGCATGGCTGGCTCAGGAATTCTGGGAGTTGAAGTCCACGAGTCATAAAAGAGCCAAGGTTGCCTACCCCTGATCTAACCACAACCAGCGGTGCATTACACGGTTACATGTTTCCTCTCCCAACTTTATTTCCTTGTTCTTCGTTAAGCTGCCACCCATGCCAGAACAAAACTGGAAATACAGCTTATAGAAACCAGTTACAAAGAAGCGTATGTTGCCACCTAACCTAGTAACTCCACATAAAGCGTGCACTTTCCAGGTTAATAATACCTTATAAGATCGTGTGAATCTCTACTTGTTTTGCAGTGTACAAAATTGTCGCTATCAATTTATGCAACGCACCCTATTAACTGTGTATAATAAAAACACAAAAAGACCACCTCCTCCTGCATCCATATCAGATCTCTTCCGTTTTGACAACCCTAGGCTAGTAAAAAAAAACAACAACACATATACTGCAACACCTTAAAGATGAATAGCAATGCGCATTGAAAGAACATCCTGCTTAAAAAAAAAACAGTTAATTCCTTATGCAATAACCTTTAACGGCCAAGATCGCACTCCAGTTAAAGAGTCTGACAGGCAGAAATGCAACAGGTGAAGCTTCTGCTTGGCGGAAAGTTATACCCCATTGCACACCGGCCTGATATCACCTGTTAAAGTCATAGAGTTTTCAACAGAGTATTTTTAATACGTTAGCGGACCCCTCCGCAACCCCAGCCTTGAAACCCATGCATAGCCCAGACCTATTGGCCCTGCCCCTCTCCTTCGCCCCAGTATTGCCCCCCCCTTCTTCTATTTACCCCAGTCCTCGCTGCTCAGCAGGTTATCTGCCCGGAAGCGGCTTGAATCGCTCAAAAGCAGCAACTCCGAAGCCAGCGCCGCCATCTTCCTTCCGCTTTTCCTACACTATACCAACACCGACTTCCACCCAGTCGATTATTGCCATAGCAACCCCGCGGCCCAATAGAAACCCTCTTCTTTCCTCTTTTGCCCAATCATAAGAAAGATGAGGCGGGACCCGACCGGTATGCCCACCAAACGGAACGGAACGGTATAGCGGAAGCGCATCGAAAAAGAAACGCGCATGCGTAAGTCCCGTCATGCGGCAAACTAAGTGCCTCGAGGAGGGCAGTTTATAAGGGGTTGTCAACGTTGAGCGGAAGTGCGCGTGCGTAGGCCAGACGGGGTTGGGCGCTTCTAGTGATGCCTTGAATTCTAGCACTACGGACAGAGCTTGCTTCGCTGGGCGTCAACGAATTCTGTGAGGGTGGGGAAGCAGGTAAGTCCGATCCCGACCACGTGCGGTGGAGTATTTAAACGTGACGCGCGCATGCGTACGAAAAGCGTTTTTCAAGGCTGAGAAGCGGCGCATGCGTCTGCTGCTTCTTTCGCTGTGATCCTGGGAATTGTAGTTTTTTTGTTTTCACATTAAGATTTTTTTTTATAGTGTTGAGTGGGCTGTCTTAAAACCTATCTTTTTAAAATTCACGCCATTCAGAAAGTATACCTTATACTAGTGGTCAAATCAGTAGTTTTAGTATTCTTATCTATAAAATTGAATTAGCATTTTCTCTTAATTTCAATCCATTCAGTACTGTAACCAAACCTCACTGTGATTTACAGTGAATAAGCTGAGAATAAAAATGTAAACATTATAGACCTACCAGTTCCCCCCTCCCCACTTTTGTGCTGTTGAAAAATCTAATTTTATGGATAATTAAGGTGTTGATCTATTAAAGGATGGGTAAAATATTTGTGGAAATTCTCAATCATCCAGGTCATAGTTGTTTCAAAGGTGTTTTTAAAAAGGCAACTAGACTTTTTTTTCCCCTGAGGAAGAAGTAGTTTCGCTTATCTACCTTTTTTTTCCCCTCACTCCACCTTGGGTTGCACAAAATAATGGAAGGCATAAAATGAATCTATCTGTCATCACATGCACAAGCATTTAAAAATGCACATAAATTTGCAGCCTTTAATTAAGATTCCAGCCAATTCAATTTTGCTGTTCCTTAAAATAGTTCATCCAAAGAGATTCTTTCAGATTTCCACATAAACCTGAAAAAATCATGGTGTGGCTGGTTTGTGGATCACTTCAAACAAAGGTCTAAAAGATTTTTGCTCAATCCTAAAATGATCAGACTTTGTGAAGGTTAAAGCTTGATTTTTTTAATACTCTTACAATTCAGTGTCTAGATAATAGCAGAACCTTCATGGGTTCAGCACAGATCAAATTGTGTGTTAAAATTGTTTAAAGCAAATTAGAAATGGTATCTATGCAGAAAATCAACAGCTGCAGAATGCAGGAATCCATCTGTGTCTGTATGGGTTTTAGGTATTATTCTTCCATCTTTTTATGAATGAAATTTTTGCTTTCCTTTTCCTGGCTGCACAGTACAATATTTGTCCTGTATTTATGTAACAAGCTTCTTTGGTTGGAGACTATTTTATTGTAGATACATGATTTTTTTTAAAAAAATGTTGTGTAGTGGGTGAACATGTATTGCCTGACAGGAAAGATATAGTTTCTCAGTTTGTTGCAGCTATATTTTTATATTTACTTCCTTTTGTCAAGTGCTGAGTAGGTGGGATGTTGAATGATTCCTATATATTACTAAGTGCTTGATCCCAAAATGAGAAAAAGCTTTTTTTGGCTTAAGCATTTAAAAAAGAACACTCTAAAAGGAAAAGAATCTGCCTAGTAACTGGATATTTTTGGACAGATAACGTAATTCAAACACTAAAGATCTGGAAAATATTTTTAAAAAGAAAAACAATAAACAATTATGACAAAAATGCAAGAAACTCTTGTTGCACTAAATAGAGGAATGTATGTTCATGTGTATTTGTATAAATGTAAAAATAACAATATGCTATTAATAACAGATTATTAAATAACACAAGTAACAAAAAATAAGAAACATAGGCTTCATGAAGATACAGTTCACTGTAATAATATAAAGCAGCACTTAAAATAAAACTGAATATGAAAACTTTAACAAACTTTAGTAATGTCAATCCACCAGTTTTTCCTCAAACCTGCTTGGCAAATCTCAAGTTATATTAAATAACAAATTAGATCCCTTAAACTTGTGATCCTTTATGCAAGACCGAACTTTTTTTAATCTCCTGAGGGAGAGAAAACGTACAATTCCATTCCATTACAACAATTTGCCAAGTGAAATCTCTGTACCTACCAATCTCAGATTGCTCATTATTACTGTCAAAAAGGAATTAATGTGAATTCTACATTGCAAGATCAACCCCTCATCAGCAGCCAAAACACCTTTTGTGTAAACACTCACTCTTTTTTTTAATGCATGAAACACTTCTTTATTTAAGTTTGTTTTCATAGTGGAACAATGAGAGAAGGACAGAATAAGGGTTTCTCGGGTCTGTTCCCTCTCTGCATCTGCAGGATTTTGTTAAACAAACCGTCATTTTCCGCTTTGTTGTCCTTTTTATTTTATTTCATCAAGACTTGGGTTCCTGAGTCCTGTCTTTGGAAGCAGCCTCAGGGGGTGGCTGGCTGGCTGAGGGAGGAATGGATGGAGACCCAACTGGTTTTTTGGGAATGCCTACAAGAAAAGACAGCAATGAGATACATCAGGGCCATCCAGCACCTAGCATAGCCTTTTCTTTTTTCTTTTTCATAGCTCTTCTGCAAAATTCCCATTATTCCCAACTCTTTTCACCTAGGCAGACTTTGCCAACTGACCGAGGTTGGCCATTGGAAGGGGAGGGGGGTTATCTCTATCTCACCAGTTCGTCATGGCTTGTTCTTGGAGGCCAACCTGCTCTCTGCCAGATCTCCATGGCGCAGGAACGATGCTATTCTGCTAGCCACATATCGGCAAGCTGAATTGGAAAGGAAGAAAAAAAAAAATCAAGAATGTCCTCCAAGATCTGGACCATCCGGACACCTTTTTGTAGTTGTTTTGGGGAATCTGATCTCTAGATGATGTTTGGGTTAATCCACCTCTTGTTTCTTCCATCCTTTGAGATTCGTCTTCCCAGCTTTCTGCTTTTACCTGCCAGATTCCCTTCCTTTCCCCTCCCCCAGCCCCAACGTTATGGCTTTCTGTCTTTTCCTTTCTGCAATCTTTTACCTACCACCAATTATGCGTCACACCATCTTTTTGAAGAAACGGGGTGCCGGGTCAGCTCGGAAAGCTCCACTTTGTGCGGCAGAAATGGCTTTGGCAAAAGGGAGGAGGCAAACGCGAAGGGTGGAGAGAAGCATTGTGGGAGATGTAGTTTTATTATCCCTGCAGGTTCAGGTCCAAAGCTAGCACACTTTGATTAATGTCGGCAGCACTGCTGCTGTCTTTAATAATATCGTGTGTTTGTGTGTGTGTGTAGTTAATTTTTTTTAGGAGATAAAATTAAAAACTAATATAAAGTGAAGAAAATAAAGGAAAAGTTCAACGTGCAAAAAGAAAGAATGAAACCAGTTCTTCAAGTACAACAAATCTTGATCTCATCTATAAGGTTTTAATTTTGCTCCTTTCTGGAATTAATTTTAAGACTGGGAAAAAAAATCTGTGTTATTAATTTCCTGGCTTTCTCGTTCTATAGATTTTTCTCTCTAGATGTGCATAGTTTGTGTATGTAATTTATCCCACATTTCTGGATTTCTTTTTTCCCCCTCCCTCTAGTCCAGGATCCTCCAAAATGATCAACATTGAGCCACAAGGGTCGATGAGACTATCCTTTATTATTAGGAGTAGCAGTAATTGTATTTGTAGTACTCTTAGTTAAAATGGTATTTATTGAATTATTTTTGTATAAAGTTGGGGGGTGATAAACAATCTGAAACTTCGTGAAGGGTTCATTGAGCTGAAATTACTATCATGCAAGGTTTGAACAGAGATCTGAGGCTTATCTCAAATTGAAAATGTCCTCCAAACTTGGTTGGGTTGCCATTTCTAGTTCACACAGATTTGAATATGGAATCATCAGTTAACTTTGTTTACATGCTAACCGAAAAGAGCAGCGCTTAATCCAAGGGAAATTTTGGAGCATGGTTGAAAGGCAGTAAAATCATCTGTCTTCTATCAGAAATGGAAGGGACCTTGCATGTCATCTGATCCAAGTACTGTTCAGGGCAAGATCTGCTACAGCATTTTGAACAGATGTTTTGAAGCTTCCAGTGAAGGTGATTATACTGGTTCAGGAGGCAACCTACTGTATTCCATTGGTTGATAAGTGTTACTGTCAGGAAATTCTTCCTCATATCCAACCTGAATCTGCTCCCTGTGGTCCCAACCCATGTTCTATTTCTGCCCTCTGTAGCCAAAAAAAGCAATTTTAGTCCCTCCTTTATATGACAACAACTCTTCAAATATCTGAAGACCACTTTGTCACACAGTCTTCAATGCATTTACTTTTTTGCAACTGCACTACACTGTTGGCGCATATTCAACTCGTGATGTACTAGAACATCCAGATCTTTTATGAACCATAATTGAGGAAACATAATTCCTGAAAATAATACTGTAATAATAACAATAGCAATAATAAAAAAGTTGGAAGGAACCTTGGAGGTAATCTAGTCCAACCCCGTTCAGGCAGGAAACCCTATACCAGTGGTGGTGAACCTATAGCACGGGTGCCAGAGGCGGCACTCAGAGCCCTCTCTGTGGGCACGCGCGCTGTTGCCCCAGTCCTAGGCCTTCAGCTGGGTTTTATAAAACCTTTTTGCTTTAGGCCTCTGCCGCCGTGTGCAAAAAAAAAAAAAAAAGGTTCAATCAATCAGTCAATTTTAACTTCTCAAGGGAAAGAAAAAGATCTTGCAAAGTTGGAATTGATTGAACTTTTTAGTCCCACCCAGTCTGCTGTTACCACCGCAGCCACGCCCACCCAATGGGCCACATCCAGCCAATGGGCCACACCCACCCAGCACCCGACAATGCATAAGTGGGTTTTGGGTTGCAGTTTGGGCACTCGGTCTTTAAAAGGTTCGCCATCACTGCCCTGTACCATTTCAGACAAATGGTTGTCCAGTCTCTTCTTAAAAACTTCCAGTGTTGGAGCATTCACCGCTTCTGGAGGCAGGTTGTTCCACTGCTTAATTGTTCTAACTGTCAGGAAGTTTCTCCTTAGTTCTAGGTTGCTTCTCTCCTTGATTAGTTTCCATCCGTTGCTTCTTGTCCTGCGTAACATTGCAACTGATCATAAGTTTCTTGCTAATTATTCTAGTGTTGATCTTTGTACTCTTAACATAGAAATCATAGAACATAGGACAAGAACCTTTATTTATGTAACAATTTTCTTTTGTGAGAAACTGTATTTTATTATATAGACATGTGTTTTTTTTTAAATATGGTCTAATGGGTTAGCACGTATTGCCTAACAGGAAAGATATAATTTCTCAGCTTATTGCCGCCATATTGATCTATTTACTTTCTTTCCTCAAGTGCCGAGTTGGTGGGTTATTGAATGATTACTATACATTAATAAGCACTTGACCCCAGAGCAATAAGAAAAAAATCTTTTTTGAGGGGCTTAAGCATTTAAAAATGAATGTTTTAAAAGAAAAGATCTGCCTAGTAAGAAAATTTTTGGATGCAAAGCAACATGTCAAACACTAATATTTTGTAAATTTTTAAAAAAGAAAACAGTAACAAGTTATGGCAAAAATGCGACAAAACTGCTGAGAGAGTTTTGTTGTACTGCTTTTTTGTCCTTTTTCTTTCTTTGTTCTGGAGCATTAAAATGATAGATGAACGTATATGTATGTGCGTATATGTAAAAAAAGAATAAGCTATTAAAAAGATTATTAAATAATATAAGTAACATAAATAACTAAAATAACAAATGTAGGCTGTCATGTAGATAAAATTCATTGTAATAGTATAAAGCAGCACTTAACAAAAATGAATATGAAATCTTTAAGAATCTTTAGTATATGTCAGTACATTTCTGTTTCTCATCCAAATTTAAAGCTTTATTAAATAACAAACTAGATCCCTTAAACTTTGCTTCTTTTCTTGCAAGACAGAACTTCTTTATCTTCTGAGGGAGAGAAACTGAGGTAGACTACTGCGTTTCCATTCCATCACTACTGTCAGAAGTCAAGTCTTCATCCTGGTTCATCCAAGCCAGGAATATTATCATTATTATTATTAAATAAGCAACATGGTGACTGTTTTCCTGCCTTTTTAATATTTCCTTCTCTGGGGCTCTGATTTCCCTCACCACAATTTGCCAAACCCTTTCTCTGAAAGTGCCAATCTCAGATCGCTTCACATTGCTGTCGAAAAGAAATCGATGTGAATTCTACATTGGAAGATCACCCCCTCATCAGCCACCAAATCACCTTTTGTAAACACTCACTCTGATTTTTTGGTTTTGTTTTTTTTTTAAAAAAAGCACGAAACACTTCTTTATTTAAGTTTATTTTCATAATGGAACAATGAGAGAAGGGACAGAATAAGGCATTCTCAGGTCTGTTAATTTCCTACAGCCGCAGGATTTTGTTAAACAAACCGTCATTTTCCGTTTTGCAGTCCTTTTTTTATTTTATTTCATCAGGAGTTTGGTTCCTGGGTTCTGACTTCGGAAGTAGCCGCATGAGGATGTTTTTCACTGGCTGAGCAAGGAATGGATTGAAACCTTGGTGGCTTTTTGGGGATACCTGCAAGAAAAAAACAGCAGTGAGATACATCAGGGCCATCTAGTTCCTAGCATAGTTTTTTTTTCCCCTTTAACCCTTCTTCCCCCCCCCCCCAGGAAACTTTGCCAACTGACTGGGGTTGGCCATTGGGAGAGAGGGTATCTCTGTCTCACCAGCTACAGCTGTCCGGTTCTTGCAAGCCAACATGGTCTCTCCCACATCCTCAGCGCGCAGGAATGATGCTATTTTCCTAGCCACATAACGGCAGGCTGAATTAGAAAGGGAAAAAAAAATCAGGAATGTCCTTCAAGATCTGGACTATCTGGACCCAGATTACTACCTTATGTAGTTGGTTTGGGGAGTTTGACTTCCAAACGCTGTTTAAGTTAAACCCATTCCTTCCAAGATTTGTCTTCCCAGCTTTCTGTTTTCACCTACCAGGTTTCCCTGCTCCCCCCCCCCCACCCCAAAGCAACTGCTGGCTCAGTTGCTTTCTTTTCCTTTTGAATTCTTCACCTACCACCAATTACGAGTCACACCATTTTCTGGAAGAAATGCAGCCGCAATTAGCCTGGAAAACTCCACTTTGTACGGCAGAAATGGCTTTGTCAAAAGGAAGGGAGGAAGCAGATGGGCAGGATGGAGAGAAGCATTGTGGGAGGCGTAGTTTTATTATCCATGCCGCTTCAGCTCTAGAGATGACACACTTTGATTATTGTAGGCAGCAGCAGCCACCAGGCCTGGTGCTTTTGTCTTTAGTAACGTTGTGTTAATTATTTATATAATTTTTAAAAAATTAAAAGTAGTTTAAAAACTAACGAGCCAGCTGGGGAATTCTGAGAGTTGCAATCCACCCATCTGAAAACTGCCAAGGTGGAGGAACACGGACCCACTATATTCCATTGGTTGACAGGTCTTACATTAGGAAATTCTTTCTCATATCCAACCTGAATTTGTTTCCCTGCAGTCCCAACCCATGTTCTATTCCTGCCCTCTGTGGCCAAAGAAAACAAATTTAATCCCTCCTTTATATGACAACAACTCTTCAAATATCTGAAGACAGCTTTGTCACAGTCTTCCATCAAAGCCTATTTATTTCTGTGAACTGCACTTCTATTCCTCTTAATACATCCCAAAATAGCATTTATCTTTTTGCAACTGCATTACATTGTTGGTTTAATGTTCAACTTGTGATCTGCTAGAACATCCAGATCTTTTACGAACCACAATTGAGGAAACATAATGCTTTATTTGACACAAGGTTGCATCTGATCAATAGCCTCTTGCTAATTATTCTAACTTTGGTTGATATTTATACTCTAACATGGAAACCATAGCATTAGCACGTAGGACAAAAAGCTCCTAGACTAGAGGAACATTGTGACTCACAATAAGAAAGGAAATAAGATAGAAATCCACATACTTTCCTCATTGTATTATTGATGTCAGAGTAACAGAGTTAGAAGGGACCTTAGAGGTTTTCTAGTCCAACCCCCTGCATGAGCAGGAGACCCTATACCATTCCAGACAAATGGCTGTCCAGTCTCTTCTTAAAAACCTCCAGTGATGGAGTACTCACAACATCTGAAAGCAAAGCTGTTCCACTGGTTAATTGTTCTCATTGTTAGGAAGTTTCACCTTAATTCCAGCTTGCTTCTCTCCTTGATTAGTTTCCATCATTAAACACTTAATCATTAAACAGATGTATTAAACATGAATCGTTAAACAGAGGCATTGTCTCTGTTTAACATCCATAGTGAATCTATTATGACAAGATTAAGGAAGGATTGGAAGAGATGACCATCAAATTTGAACTCCTCAAATTTGCAGACGACACCAAGCTGGCAGGAATAGCCAACACTCCAGAAGACAGGCTTAAGATACAGGAGGACCTGGACAGACTTGAACACTGGGCGCTATCTAACAAAATGAAATTCAGTGGTGAAAAAAGTAAGGTTCTACATTTAGGCAAGAAAAACCAAATGTACAGGTATAGTATAGGGGGTACCTTGCTCAATAGTAGTAACTGTGAGAGGGATCTCGGAGTCCTAGTGGACAATCACTTAGATATGAGCCAGCAGTGTGCTGCAGCTACCAAAAAAGCCAACACAGTGCTAGGCTGCATTAACAGAGGGATAGAATCAAGATCACGTGAAGTGTCAATACCACTTTACAATGCCTTGGTAACGCCACATTTGGAATACTGCATCCAGCTTTGGTCACCACGATGTAAAAAAGATGTTGAGACTCTAGAAAGAGTACAGAGAAGAGCAACAAAGATGATTAGGGGACTGGAGGCTAAAACATATAAGGAATGGTATGCTGGAATTGGGTATGTCTAGTCTAATGAAGAGAAGGACGAGGGGGGACATGATAGCCGTCTTCCAATATCTCAGGGGCTGCCACAAAGAAGAGGGAGTCAAGCTATTCTCCAAAGCGCCTGAAGGCAGGACAAGAAGCAACAGATGGGAACTAATCAAGGAGAGAAGCAACCTAGAACTAAGGAGAAACTTCCTGACCGTTAGAACAATTAACCAGTGGAACAACCTGCCTGCAGAAGCGGTGAATGCTCCAACACTGGAAGTTTTTAAGAAGAGACTGGACAGCCATTTGTCTGAAATGGTATAAGGTTTCCTGCCTGAGCAGGGGGTTGGACTAGATGACCTCCAAGGTCTCTTCCAACTTTATTATTATTATTACCATTGAAATCATATTGAGGTTGACATGCTCCCATCTGAAAAGAGCAAACATAATCTCTTTGTTGGCTGAAAGTAGAGAAGGCTTAGCCTTAGGCTTACAAGATTTTCTCTTATGAAAAGGAAAGAGAAAAGAATAGGGGCAATTTTGTCCATTGTACTTGGTGAACTTCAGGTTGAGGATGGTGAAAAAGGGAGGCCATTTTGATTTCTGGGGCTCAAATATAGATAAATCTAAACATGTGCTGGAGGAATACAAACATTAAACCTAGAGAGGAAGGAAATGGCAAATTTAGGCAATAAGTACAGGTAGTCCTCGACTTGCAGGCACAACTGGGATCAGAATTTCCATTGTTAAATGAGACAGTTGTTAAGTGAAGCACACTCTATATTACTCCCTTTTTGTTACCCACAGTTGTTACTGTGGAAAATCACTGCAGTTAAGTCAATCACACAGTCATTAAACAAGTCCAGCCACTCCCTTTGACTTTGCTTCTTAGGAGCTGGCTAGGAAGATCACAAATGGTGATGCTATAGTTGTTGTAAATATATGCTGGTTGTCCAGTGCTTGAATTTTGATCATGTGACTGTGGGGATGTGACAGCCGTAAGTGTGAGGAATGGTCATAAATAATAAAAGGACTACGAATATATTCCAACCTTTATGGCAATTGTACATAAGAAGACCATTGACAACTATAATCCTGTGCTGTCAATTTTTTCTTGATATTATTTTACAGTCGTCTTGACAAAATTCTAGTACATAAGTATTCTAGGCATCTAAATAAAATACACAATAAGACTTTAGAGAGGACAAAAGCAACATTCAGACTGCGACAGATTCTAATAGCTGTCAGCTGAGTTTTGGGAAGCGCTTGTTCTGAAAGAGGGCATGAAATTATTTAATTTCATTTTCAGGCAGATAGGATACATCTAACAAACAAAAATAAAATATGTAATAGAGAATATATTGTAATTAGGAAGCGGCTGTCCCATCCCTATGAAAAATGAACATCAATAAATTGATCTAACCCAGTGGTTCTCAACCTGTGGGTCGGGACCCCATTTGGGGTCGATTGACCATTTCATGGGGGTCGCCAAGCAAGGCTGTCCGCCATTTTTTTTGTCTGCCATTTTTTTTGTCCGCCATTTTTTCCCCCTTTTCCGGCGGGTGCCTTACCTCCCTTGGGCTGGGCCAGCTGGTGGTCGGCCTGCTCCGTCTCTGCCGCTTGCCAGCTACGCCTCGGCCGGCGCAGGGGGCGGAACCACACATGCGCGGCGCTCCCGGGCAGGGAAAGTCCTCGACTTACGACTGGTTGGGTAGTCCTCGACTTACGACCGGTTTAGTCCTCGACATACGACCAGTTTAGTCCTCGACTTACGACCGGTTTAGTCCTCGACTTACGACCGGTTGGGGTCGCGGCATTAAAAAGGTTGAGAACCACTGATCTAACCAGTTTGGGTTATGCAATATATTTACTTGAATATATTTATAAACATATGGATATGCATACCTGCTGTATGTTCACACATGTTCATAAAGATAGGGAGGGAGACAGAGAGGCTAGATAGATGAGAGATAGATGAGAGAGAGAGAGAGAGAGAGAGAGAGAGAGAGAGAGAGAGAGAAAATTAGTTATTACTGGGTGAAATAAAGATTGACTATTGTCTTAAGACTATAACCAGGAAGTTGAAATTCATATACTTTTTAAGTGTGGTATGAGTAGATGGAGGACTAGAAATATTGCTGTACTTGTCAAGGCTGAGTTAAAAAAAAAAGGATAATCAATGAAATGGATAGAGGAAAAAAGATGGCTGGAATGTCCTTGAAAGAGTTACAGATTATTACTGAAGATGGGTTGAAATTGTAAAGAAGTTCCTTGTTCAGACCATAGATCAGTCCCAACCCCTAATAACAACAACAACAACAATAATAAAGTTGGAAGGGACCTTGGAAGTCATCTAGTCCAACCCCCTGCTCAGGCAGGAAACCCTATACCACTTCAGACAAATGGCTGTCCAGTCTCTTCTTAAAGACTTCCAGTGTTGGAGAATTCACAGCTTCTGGAGGCAGGTTGTTCCACTGGTTAATTGTTCTAACTGTCAGGAGGTTTCTCCTTAGTTCTAGGTTGCTTCTCTCCTTGATTAGTTTCCACCCATTGCTTCTTGTCCTGCCCTCAGGTGCTTTGGAGAATAGCTTGACTCCCTCTTCTTTGTGGCAGCCCCTGAGATACTGGAACACAGCTATCTTGTCCCCCCTTGTCCTTCTCTTCATTAAACTAGACATTCTTACTTATCCACCAACTACTTAAGCTCTGTTATCTTCATCAGACCTTTCTCCTGGATAACAATGTCCCAGAATTTAAACAAATCACAAAGTGATGGGAATCTCAGGGACTTTTTGAACGCATCTGTATCAGATCTTGCCTTCTTAAAAATCATTGCTAAACCTCAGTTGCTGGACCCCTTGGTCAGAAGCTCCCTGGTAACCTTTCAAGATCAAGAGAAGACCATAAATGATGGAGCAATCTTCATACTCTTCTTATGAAGAGTATTATAGTCTTCTTATGACTATAACTTCGTTGCTTGTATCTTACAATTTATATTGTTTTCAGTATCCTAGTAGGATTTATGTTGTTTGCTGAGCTAGTATTCAATAACTATCACTAAGTGTTGCACCTTACGATTCGTGATGATGTGTTGTATTTTATGATTTATGATGAATGGTTTTTTTACGTTGTTTATGATCGTGATTTATCACTCTGTACTTGTATGTACACCGAGAGCTTATGCACCGGAGACAAATTCCTTGTGTGTCCAGCCACACTTGGCCAATAAAAGAATTCTATTCTATTCAAAATGAAGGAGGAGAGGGAGGATCCGAAAGCGTTTCCCTACTTTTTCCCAGGTTTTTCTTCCTGCCTGCCTCTAACCTGACTTCTTCTGAGGGATAGTCTAAACATACAGTAGTTGCTAGGACAGGTGGTTGCTGAGGAAATGACGTTCCAGGGAGAAAGAAGGGGGGAAGGAGGATTGAAATTAGAGGACGTAATAGAGCCAGAAGCTAAATTGCACCCCCCATCTCTCCCCACAGCGGGTCTTCTCCATCCTGTGCCGAAAATGAAGCCTAAGAGAAAGGAGATGTGAGGTAAATCTTAACGGTGGATGGAGGATGGGTTTTAGGGTTTATCGGACTTTCACACACTCAGTACTATGGGTGTAGGAGTGATCTGTTGGAAAAGCACATGCAAGGCAAGTGGACAGAGGATGAATGGGGACTGCCTGTTACTGGGTGTGTAAGATGTACATGTTGGTGTGTGTAATGTAGAAAAGACCGAGAAAATAAGCTAAAAACCTGCTCCCAAATACCAGTATTATGAAGCCACTGGTGAATGTGCTGTGATATTGTTGAAGGAGAATGATTTTTGTTTGTTTGTTTGTTTGCCTGCAGCAGATGTTAACAAACCCCACAGGGACAAATGCTTTAATAAAATGGAGAGGACAGGTAGAGAGCTCCATACAGTAACAACTGGATTAATTTATCCTTGTTAAGGTTTCTTATTTCTTCCTATAATCCATTCCGAGGCTTCGTCGTCTTTGTTTTTCTTCATGACAATTGTTATGATTTAAGCTGCTGTTATTCCTGTTTTACAGGCATGGACTGAATGACAAGTATTGTTTTATAGTTTTGAGATCACACAGTGAAACTTTACCTTAAGGTGAGGTTTGAAAAAAAAAAAAAAAGCAACTGGATTTGCATCCATCCCTCTAGCCACCAAATTATTTTGGTTTGATTCTCACAGTTTATTTATACGGTACCACTCCAATTTATAATGTGGTTTGTTTGGTTCTGGTGTAATGTTGTGTAAATGCAACTTTGGCAATTCGTGAACCATGTTTTGTGGCTTAGTATGTTTTACAAATCCAGTTGTTGTTTTCAACAAACCATGGTTTAGTATGATACAAAGGGCTGAGTCAGAGAAGGATCTGGGTTGTTTGTAGGGTTGCAGGGAATAAAACTTCTATATGTCAACATCTGTACGTCAAATCCTGACACTGAGAACAATTAATCGAGTGGAACGACTTGCCTTTAGAAGCTATGGATCTCCATAACTAAGGAGAAACTTCCTGACAGTTAGAACAATTAACCAGTGGAACAACCTGCCTCCAGAAGCGGTGAATGCTCCAACACTGGAAGTTTTTAAGAAGAGACTGGACAGCCATTTATCCGAAATGGTATAGGGTTTCCTGTCTGAGCAGGGGGTTGGACTAGATGACCTCCAAGGTCCCTTCCAACTTTATTATTATTATTATTATTATTATTATTATTATTATTATTATTATTATTATCATCATCATCATCATCATCATCATCATCATCATCATCATCATCACTGGAAGTTTTTAAGAAGAGATTAGACAACCATTTGTCCAGAATGGTATAGAATCTCCTGCTTGAGCAGGGGGTTGGACTAGAAGACCTCCAAGGTCTCTTCCAGCTCTATTATTCTGTATTCTATTCTGTATTCTTTAGAGAGAATAGAGAAATTTCCAGACAGAACAATTAACCAGTGGAACGACTTGCCTCCAGAGGTTGTGGGTGCTCCAACACTGGAGGTTTTTAAGAATAGATTGGACAACCATTGGTCCGGAATGATATAGGGTTTCCTACTTGAGCAGGGGGGTAGACTAAAAGATCTCCAAGGTCCCTTCCAGCTCTGTTATTCTGTTATTCTTTCCATGGTCTTCTTAATAATTCAACATTAGAATAACTCTCATTCTCTCTCTTGATGGGACCCAGGGCTTTCTCGTCACTCGACGTGGAACCTCAGGTTGAAGGAGAAAGGAATGGCAAGCTCAGAGAAGGCTTGTCTGATGAGCCAGACTGCTGGAGAACGGGAAGTGGGCAAGAAGCCAGACCAGAGAATCCCCATCTGTGACGAAAGTATCCGAGGTGCATCCCTTGGGAATGAAAAAAAGGATCTTGTGTACCAGGTAAAAGAAAACCAACCGCTTCCCATCCAGTCCCAGCCAGGGGTGTACTGGGCTTGCCCAGATGGCACCTTTGTCAAGCTGATCCTAAAGGCTGGGACAGGTTTAGATAAACCAAAGGAAGGGTCCATCTGCCAAGTCTTCATTGAGGCCCATCATGAAGGGCCCTTGAGCTACCCATCCTGCAGGTGGTCTGAAGTAGAGCTGGGTGGGGGTGACGCCGAATGGGACGGTGTGGTGGACCGTGGTTTGGAAACCATGCTGGCAGGGGAGCAGGCTGAACTGAGGTTGACAGCCGGCGGCACCATCACTGTCCAGTTGGCAAGCTTCACGGAAGCCAAAGACTCTTGGGAGATGAGCGCAAGTGAGAAGTGGGACTTGGTCCTCAGCAATAAAGAGCGCGGCGGTGAGCTGTACAGGGCGGGAGCCATTGAGGCAGCTGCCAGGCGCTACGCTAGGGCCTTGCGCCTGCTCGTTGTGGCTGCTCCTCCCCCGGATTATGACCAGATCAAGGCGGAGCTTCACACCAACTTGGCCGCCTGTCAGCTACGGTTGCACCAGCCGGCCAACGCCGCTCAAAACTGTTCCAAGACTCTTGTGCTCCAACCGGCCAACCCCAAGGCCTTGTTTCGCCGGGGCTTGGCCTACGATGCGATGAATGACCTGGAGGGGGCAGCGCAAGACCTAAAGGGCGTTTTGCGAGTTGAGCCAGGAAACCGAGCAGCTCGCCGGGAATTAGAAAGGGTTACTGAGCGGATCCGGGCACGGGATGCTAGATTGGCTCAGGCCATGCAGAAAATGTTTGCTTGAATAAAATCATTTTACCACGTCAGTGTTGTGGGGGTTGCATTTTCCTTGCGGTTCAGGTGAGCAACCGAAAAGAGGAGCTGGTGCTTGACACTATGAAGTTGATGGCTGGGCAGGATTAGCCTTTGGTGTCTTTGCACCAAACCGAACACCAGTAGTTGCCTTTAGCACGCTTTCTTACCTATGGAAAAAAATCGACTGAATACAGATAGTCCTCGACTTACGACCGACAAACTGAGCCCAAAATTTATGTTGCTAAGTGAAACATTTGTTAAGTGAGTCTTAACACGACTTTTACGACTTTTCTTGCCACTGTTGTTAAATGAATCATGGCAGTTATTAAGTTAGTAACACAGTAGTTAAGTGAATCTGGCTTCCCCATTCACTCTGCTAGTCAGAAGGTTGCAAAAGCGGATCACATGACCCCGGGACTGTGCAACTGTCATAGATATGAACCAGTTGTCAAGCATTTTAATTTTGATCATGTGACCATGGGGATGCTGCAAGTTGTAAGTGTGAAAAATGGTCATAAGTCACTTTTTTCAGTGCTTGTTGTAACTTTGAACCGTCTCTAAGTGAGCTGTCGTAAGTCGAGGACTACTTGTACATCACAGGATATCGTACACAGGCTTGCTATGTAAATATGAAATTGGCCTTTGGCGTTCCAGTTCCTATAACTTTAAAATCAACACCTTTTTAACCCTAATGAGAAATATGTGAGTTGCACTTAATGGACTTTCAGCAATTCAAGTGACCTTTATAAGACGGTCACTTTTGAATCATGGCTTTTGTGTAGAACCATTAATCGTTGGCTTTGTGTGTACATGGTAGGAAATCGGGAGGGAGGGGAATGACAGGTGAGAAGGACCAGAACAGCCGGATCCTGTTTGTACCAGCATCCCATAGCCAGGCACTCTGAGAAATATGCAGATTACCCCCAAACAGCTCAGAGTTCTTAAAATACGTTGGCAAGCTCTGGTTGGCTGGAAAGGGACTGATCATGGGGAGAAGAATGGGCTGTGGGCAAACCTATACCTTATTTTTGTATCTAGTGAGCATGGTAGATTTCAGAGCTGGCTTGACTTTCCTGCAACCAACATCCTTAGTAAAAGAACCCTTTGCTTTAACCGAATGGAGCTAAGAGCTAATCCAGTGATGGCGAACCTTTTAGAGACCGAGTGCCCCAAAACTGGCCCCCACCCCGCCCCCGCTCCGCCCCACCCCGCCTGCCCGCAGGGCCACTCACTGCCTCCAGGGCCCACCGCAGATCGCCCAGGCAGCCCAGCAGCGCCATGGTGGCCATGCCCTTTCCCCGCACCCTCCAGCATCAACTGTGCGGGATGGGGCGTGAGGGCAGAGTCTTGTCTACACTGCCTGGCTGCCATGTCCTTGGCTCCGCTACTCCGCGTGGGCCACGCTTGGGGGCGACTCTCCTCCGGGGGGGCTGCTGGTGAGGGGTCGCGGGGGGAGGCAAGGCTGGGGCAACGGCATGTGTGCCCACAGAGAGGGCTCCGAGTGCCGCCTCTAGCACCCGTGCCATATGTTCGCCACCACTGGGCTAATCTTTTCTAAGGGATTGGACCATTAATAAGACCACTGGAAGTTAAGTCAGGGAAGACAGATGACATTTCCCTTATTCCTTCTCTACACAACTCATGCTCAAAGCTTTACGCACAGTATGTTGTGACTCTACGTTCAAGCTGCAAAAGTACAAATGGGGAATTTTTTGGGAGACTTTCTATAGAAGCCACAATCCTCAAAGTATGAGCCTTTATAATAATGCAGGGTTTTTTTCCCCCCAGACAAATTTCTAACCGTTTCAGTTGTGAAGATTAACAAGAAAAAACATTGCTTTGATAAAATCACAGGAAGAGCAGAAAAGAAAGATCAGGCTTAAAAGTTTGATAGGGATTTGGGAACCTTCCAGTTAGGCAAATTATACTAATTACTCCATTTTTAGCAAAGGAACAGCATTTTCAGAGCTGCTTTAAATCACCTTTTGTGGCCCATTAGAGCACAGTCCTTGTGTCATTTGGGGAAGGAGGGGGAAGCGGTACAGGTAGTCCTTGACTTACAACCCAGCTCATTTAGTGACTGAAGTTGCAGCAGCACTGAAAAAGGTGACTTACGACTTTTTTACACTTAAACTGTTGCCACATCCCCATGGTCACATGATCAACATTCAGATGCTTCACAACTGACTCATATTTATGACGGTTGCAGTGTCCCCGGGGGTCATGTGATCCCCTTTTGTGAACTTCTGACAAGCAAAGTCAATGGGGAGGCCAGATTCACTTAACAACCATGTGACTAGCTTAACAACTGCAGTTTATTTACTTAACCACTCTGGAAAGAAAGGTCGCAAAACAGGGCAAAACTACTTAACAACTGTCTCACTTAGCAGCAGAAATTTTGTCAGAAGTCAAGGACTACCTGTTATTTTGAAAACTTGCATGTTGGAAAGCAAAAGTAGCAAACTATATGCAATTTTATAACACAGGCAGAATTTTGGGTGTGGCACTTGTTTACATGGCAATGAAGAAATCTGAATATTACAGAATTCATATTTTTTTTTAAAAACAAACAAACTTGAAGGTGTGATGCTCAGCTGGAGAGTCTGCTGTAATGGAGGAAAGCCAAAATCTCCCACCTTCCTTACTATTATCATAGTTTTTCCCAATTCCCTCCTTGCTCTTTTGGGGCTGTCACATGCCCAGCGAATTGCTTTAAATCCATACATATCCCTTTTTTGCTGTTTCTAAGCAACCGTCTCCTAAGAGACCGCAGAACTTGGGGATGGTAAGCCAGTGGGGGGGGGAGGGAGGTGAGAAAAAATTCACTGGGGTGAAAGAAAGGATATCGAACCTTCCCATTATAAATACAATTACATCAGATGCTGGGAATCAATCAAATGTCTTTATTAACAGAGATTCTGTAACCAAGTCACTTGCAAACAGAGATAGAGTATAGAGTCCAACATCCAAAGGGGGGGGGGAAAGGGGGAAATGAATGGGAAATTCGTATGACAATATGAGATTTGGCACAGAGACGACGGGAGGCCTTAAAAATGCAAAATAATGCGAATTTTTTTCTATATTGAAGCCTCCCCATGCCTGATTCCCTGAAACGCACAATGTTGAGTGCCCATTAAATCATCCAACCAATTTTGGTCGATGCAACTTAGCAATGGTCTACTTATTAATCAGAATGAGGCACGTGTCAAAGTCTCAGTCGTCTCGTGTCCATTTGTAAATTAAAAGAGCTGTTTCTGTAAATTGTTCTCCCATTTATATCAAACTACTTGCATGTAATAAACCAGCACCTCAAAAGGACAGTATTGGTCTTTCTTCTATGCTAATTTACTACCTGCAGGATCATTCATAGAAAAGAGTATTCAAAAATATCCCACATTCACTTCCAGATTGAAATAAGGTAAGATTCTGCCACCACATCTAGTGGGCATCATATAGAATATCTCCAGAATCAATTTGCACATCCCAAAAGGAGTGGATTACAGACCACTGTTTGATTACGGACCATAGGTGTGGGTTGCAATTTTGAGTATTTTTCCCAAATCCTCCCTGAAAAACTAGTTAGTAGCAATAGCCGGAATAGCTCGGTCCTTCTCTTAGCTTACTACAGGTAGTCCTGAAGTTATGACCGTAATGGACCCTACCCACCATGGCCATAAAGCAGGTCAGTCACACGACTAACCCAACTTTATGAACTTTTTTGTAAGCCGTAATGTGAGGACTATCTGAATTAAGCTGTTCTGTTGATTACATTTTCTTAAGGTAAGCCTGAGGTACGTTAGGGTGACAGATGATCAGACAAGTAAGTGTGGTAGCTAAATAAGGGTGTAAAAACTTTGTCTAAATCCAGTTGTCTAACGTGCTACCTTGGTGCTACTTGCTGGTTAATATTTAAAGTTGGGGGAACAAAGCTGCCTCTGCGCTTTGACCCTGGACCGGGTCATAGGTCCGCCCATTAGCAATTAACTTTAGAAATGGCCCCTTTAAGAACTACACAGCCGATGCTAATGGGCGGACCTATGACCCGATTCAGGGTCAAAGCACACAGGCAGCCGGCCACATAAAAACGGACTCCCGGATCCAGCATTTTATACCCTGACGATGTCGGTAGTGTGGTTCAGGACCAGACATCACTCTTTTAATTTAGCATAGGATGCTATAAAAGCATCTTTTCTGGAACCCTTCTCTGGATTTTCCCCTAGGTTGGACATTATCTGCTTCCTGGAAATGGCCACACTGGACCGCCCCACCCCCCTCCATTGATGGACAGTTGGATTTTTTTGCTGCATCTTTCCTCCTCCAGTTACTTTTCATCTCCTCACCCCCTCTGTCTGCTAGATCAGTTAGATCTTGCAATTTTTCTGATGCCATCATGCTGGCTGCTCTCCAAAGTATTAATACTATCAAAGAATTGTCTAGCAGTTCTTATTATCCCCCCCTTTCCCTTTCTTTCTTTCTTTCTTCCTTGGCTTGAAGTTTACTGTAATGTATGCTTTTGCCTAAGCCAGCCTGGACACCAGCTAGTAGCAAAAGAGTTGGCTCGCTCAGTACATGTCTAAAAGGCAACCAGACTCTCTAAGCCCATCTGTTAAGAATATTGTGAGGGTATCGTAAGTATGTGGATTGCAGAATTTGGAGCCAGATGGGAAGAGATCAAACTAAGTACAAAGTTTAAAAAAAAAAAAACCTTTCACAGTCCTCTCCAAGGAAGAAATGAAGAACGGCAGTGTGAAATGAAAGGTATAAAAAGAACGATGCGTTAAGCCAGGGATAGTCAACCTTGGCTCTTTTATGGACTCATGGACTTCAACTCCCAGAATTCCTGAGCCAGCTGTGCTGGCTCAGGAATTCTGGGAACTGAAGTCCACAGAGTCATAAAAGAGCCAAGGTTGACTACCCCTGCTTTAAGCTCTACGAAACGGAACTTAAAAAAAAAAAGTCTGTATTTTTTAAAAAAGCACTTGCACACTTACCAAATGCAACATCTCTAAACAGCGTATGAAAATATATGCCTTCCTAATTACAGACGGTGATTTGTTTCACTTAGCATGGAAGCAGCGGTTCCTTTCGCACCGCAAATAAAACAGGGAAGTAGCCAATCAGGCTCTCCAAATGTTGGGCGCTTCTCCATCTATTACAAAGATGGAGAAAGGGAAGCAGCTGATGAAAAAGAACGATGGGGGCAGAGAGACAGGGCTTTGCTGAGACTGCACTGGCGCCCCGGGGTCCATACTAGGGCAGCACTAGGCATGCAAACACGGCGGGAGGAAGATGGTTATTTCTTGGTCACAGAAGACGGAGCCTACTCCTCAGGAAGGAAGGAAGCAAGCAACGTATTCTGGGAAAGGAACGAACAGAGGACAAGCATTTCGCTAGGAGCCTTAACTTATGGAGCACGTCTGAATGGCGTCACTTGGAAGTCATTCTGCTGAGTCGGTACGGCTAGCAAGGCCAACAACAGCCAAGGATGATGGGAGTGGGCGGAGAGTGGGGTGGAGAAGGGTTGCCAAGCATTCCGAGTGTCGTCGGCAAGGGTGAAGACAGAGGAGAAGGAGGGGTGGCTGTTGCCAAGGACCATCCCCGGGGGTGGCTGTTGCCAGGGCGGTTGTGACCAGTTGTCAGGGTGCAGGAGTAGGCCGAAGAGAGGCGATTGGTCGCTAGGGGTCCCAGTCGTTGTCATGGTGCTGAGCGGCAATGATGATCACCACCGTAAGGATGGTGCACAGGACCATGGCGGCGATGCCCACCGCCAGGCTAATGAAGGAGAAGTTGCGGGCCTCCCGGGAGGCAATTTCTGCCGATACGATGTCGCCACGGGCAACAGCAGTCCGCACCTGATGGAGAGAACAAAGCGTGGGAACAGGAGGAGAACACAGGCGCTGCAGCTGCAAAACATGTCCGGCGCATGACACAATATATGCCTCCCCATTCACTGTATCTTAACACACTCTTCAATAAACAGTAAAAGCTGGAGTATAAGAGATGAACAATCATTTATAGACTGCAGGGAGAGGAATATATTCTTCTGTGCCTTCCTCTTAAGTGTGAGACCCCCTCCCTACTTATAAAAAATATTTTTTATTTTATTTTATTATTTATTTTTATAAATAACTCAAGGCAGCAAACATATCTAATACTCCTTTCTCCTCCTGTTGTACCTACAACAACAAATCTGTGAGGTGCGTCGGGCTGAGAGAGGATGACTGGCCCAAAGTCACCCAGCTGGCTTTCATGCCTAAAACAGGACTAGAACTCACAATCTCCCAGATTCTAGCCTGGTGCCTTAACCGCTACAGCAAACTGGTCTATTAATTTCAATTAATCATATGAATGAATCTTCTACTCTGAAAATTCTTGCTGCCATGTTAGTTTTCCTTATGGAAGCGTGTGAGGGAAGAGGACAGTCAGTTTCTTGATTATTTATCTACTGGATATACTGTACATTCCTCTTTTCTTCACTTTAGCAGCATACATAACCCCTCCTCTTTTTTTTCCTACCGCAGTCTTTTTCAACCAGGGTGACTTGAAGATACCTGGACTTCACATCCCAGAATTCCCCAGCTGGCATGCTGGCTTGGGGGATCCTGGGAGTTGAAGTCCAGACATCTTCATGCTGACAACATTGAGAAACACTGTTGCAAAATACGTTCAGCGGAAAGGGAAGGACCAGAACTTGGGTTTCCCTATTCCACCACCAGCACCTTCATCACTGAGGATGAGGAGGGACTGGCTCAAAGCCCCTCAGGGAACGTTGATGGCTCTCCCCACTTCTAATCTAGCACCTTCCTCGTTTTTTCAGCTCCAGGTGTGGGAGAAAGGGACTGGCTGAAAATCCCCAGGAAACATCCATGGCTCAAGAGGAATTAGAAACTGTGTCTTTCCAATCTTAGTCCTTCACCACTTCCTCATGCTCAGAGTTGTATGAAGGTGCCTGTTGTCATATGGGTAGCCCAGAACTTTCTCTTAAGGCAGTGATGGCAAACCTTTTAGAGACTGAGTGCCCAAAAACCACCCTGCCCCCCCCACCGGGCCACCCACTGCCTCCATGTCCCGCCGCAGATTACCCAGGCGGCCCTGCAGCACCAGGGTGACCACACCCTTCACCCATACCCTGCAGTAGCATCTGCGTGCGACGGGGGTGAGGGTGGAGTCTTGTCCCTGTTGCCCGGCTGCCATGTCCTTGGCTGCACTGCTCCGCACAAGCCACGCATGGGGGCGACTCTCCAGGGGGGCTGCTGGTGAAGAGGGGGCTACGGGAGGAGGCGGGGCTGGGACGACGGCGCACATGCCCACAGAGAGGGCTATGAGTGCCGCCTCTGGCACGCATGCCATAGGTTCACCACCACTGTCTTAAGGCCTCAGTTCTATGCCTTTGATATGAGAATCAGATATGTGGTGTTCAGTTGATGATTAGCTATGGGTACTCCTCAACTTACAATAGTTCATTTAGTGACTATTCGAAGTTCCAACGATACTGAAAAAAGTGACAGGACCATTTTTCACATTTACGACCGTTGCAGCATCCTCATGGTCATGTGATCAAAATTCAGATGCTTTGGCAACTGGTTCACATTTATGAGTTGCGATGTCTCAGGGTCATGTGATCAGTTTTTGCGACCTTCTGACAAGCAAAGTCAATGGGGAAGTCACATTCACTTAACAACCATGTTACTAACGTAACAACTGCAGTGATTCACTTAACACTGGAATGTCATTCCCTCAGAGATTAGACTGGCCCCCACTCTAACACTCTTTCGGAAGGCGCTGAAGACCTGGTTCTGCCAACGGGCCCGGTGAAGTCAGAATGAGATAGAGCCCATCAAATGGCTAGTTCAGGGGTAGGCAACCTTGGCTCTTTTATGACTCGTGGACTTCAACTCCCAGAATTCCTGGCTCAGGAATTCTGGGAGTTGAAGTCCACGAGTCATAAAAGAGCCAAGGTTGTCTACCCCTGGGCTAGTTGAATGTGTGTTGTCACTGGGATGGGGGAAGGGGTTATTACATTATTTTATTATGTTTCGTCTTGTTATTTTTTTTATTTTATTTTTTTTATAGGGTGTTTTTCTATTTATGGAAGCTGCCTTGAGTCGCCATGTGCGAGTAGGCGGCAATACAGATTTTCTAAATAAATAAATAACATAAAATGGGTCAAAATTCACTTCACAGCTTTTGTCTCACGTGTTAACAACAGAAATTTGGGGCTCAATTGTAGTCGTAAGTTGAGGACAACCTGTGTGAAGGACTGCACGTTTAAGAGGGCAGCCTAAACCAGTCTGTCGCTTGCCGATGCCCTTTGAAATCGTTTTTTTTTTTCCACCACTGCAATCATCTGACACTCAAGTGCATTTTTTTTTAGTGTTATCGTCTTTTCATGTGGCTTCTCCATGTCCCCTGAGCAAGTGTTCTCAGCAGCTGTCAAGCACCCGTTTGACATGTTACTCATCCTTTTGGGCAGACAAACAAGAGGTGAGTGGAAAAATTCAGATGGAGGCAGGCACATTATGGCTTTCTACTGTGACAAAATGGTTGCCTGGCTCCTCAGAGCCATGGATTATTTTCAGAACGAAGCCATTCGACTCTACAAAATGTGTACTGTACATGTGTGGGAGGTGAGGAATGCCAGCCAGACGTGAACAGGGAGTGCACGCGGCATCTGTTCAATCCAATTTCCTTTGCTGTGCTGTAGATTATATCCATCTTGTGACGTTTCTAGATCTAGAAAGGGGGCTCCCTTCTCCAGAAGGATTTCCTCAATCACTTTGGTACTTTAAAGATGCTTGGATTCCAGTGCAGCTGCAATACAGTATTATTTAGGTTGTAGTCCTGCTCACTACACCATCATCACAGGCAGCTACGGGCTGAAGCCTCAGTCCAGAGATCAGTGTTTCTCAACCTTAGCCGCATTATGATGCGTGGACTTCAACTCCCAGAATTCCCTAGTCAGTATGCTGGCTGAGGAATTCTGGGAGTTGAAGTTCATGCAACATAATGTGGCTAAGATTGAAAAACACTGGTCCAGATGCTTGCAATGTAGAAAGTAGCAATGAGAAACCTGATTAGGGTCATATCTGGTTTCCATTCCTCTTTTTTGTGTCACCTAGCCCAGTAATGGCAAACCTTTTAGAGACCAAGTGCCCAAACTGCAACCCAAAACCCACTTATGTATCGCCGGGTGCCGGGTGGCTGTGGCCCACTTGGCGGGTGCAGCTACAGTGGGCTTGGCAGACTGGGTGGGCATGGCCACTGGATGGGTGTGGCTGCAGTAGTCGTGACAGATTGGGTGGGCATGGCCGGGGTGGGCGTGGCCACCTTGATGTTGCTTATGGGGAGGGACACCTGTGGGAGCCGGGCAGGGTTGGGGGAGATCCAGGGGTTATCTGGCAGGTGGGATGGTGGGCTCCCCAATGGTGGCTCCAGGCTGGCTGGCCTTAGGCCAGTGATGGCAAACCTTTAGAGACCATGTGTGCTGGGGCGATGGCGCGTGCCCACAGAGAGGACTCCGCGTGCCGCCTCTGGCACGCGTGCCATAGGTTCGCCACCACTGACCTAGCCCCTTCAAGATTGGAAATCTAGTTTTTAAAAATAAAAACAGATTCCCAGAATTTGGCTACCTCTGTTGTAAGACTCAGCCTTTGGCAAGTCTAGCAACAGCATCAGCCCCCTTCTGCCTCCAGCTGCAGCTCTACCTAGCAACACAACACATTTTCACTCCCCATTACGTCTCTGAGTCTTTGTTAATCTGCAGGAAATTAGCACTATGGAAAATGAAAAAGGCTGCCCACTGCTGCCATCCTCAATTTGGGGCCTGCAAGGTAGGAGAAGGAGAAATCCTAGGACATTCTCATAAATGTGACACTCTTAACACAAGCAACAATGGGGGGGGAAACCTTTTCAGAGAGAGATCCAACCTGGAAATAAGGAAAATTCTAACCGGGAGAACAATTAATCAGTGGAATAGCTTGTCTCCTGGAGCTGTGGGTGCTCCATCACTGGACGTTTTTAAGAAAAGATCGGACAACCATTTGTCCGGGATGGTATAAGGCAGTGGTTCTCAACCTTTTTAATGCCGCGACCCCAACCGATCGTACGTCGAGGACTAAACCGGTCGTAAGTCGAGGACTAAACCGGTCGTAAGTCGAGGACTAAACCGGTCGTAAGTCGAGGACTACCCAACCGGTCGTAAGTCGAGGACTTTCCCTGCCCGGGAACGCCACGCATGCGTGGTTCCGCCCCCTGCGCCGGCCAAGGCGTAGCTGTGGCAAGCGGCAGAGACGGAGCAGGCTGACCACCAGCTGGCCCAGCCCAAGGGCGGTAAGGCACCCACCGGAAAAGGGGAAAAAATGGCGTACAAAAAAAATGGCGTACAAAAAAAATGGCGGACAGCCTTGCTTGGCGACCCCCATGAAATGGTCGATCGACCCCAAATGGGGTCCCGACCCACAGGTTGAGAACCACTGGTATAAGGACTCGTGCCTTGGGCAGGGGCTGCTGTTGTTAAGTGAGGTTTTTTTTGCCATGGTTGTAAAGTGAATTATTACAGTTGTTAAGTGAATCATAGGGTCATTTAACGAATCCAGCTTTCCCTATAGACTTAGCTTGCTGGAAGCTGGCTGGGAAGGTCTAAGTTAGTGTAAATATAGGCTGGTTGCCAAGTACCCAGATTTTGATAATGTGATTGTGGGGATGTGTGACAGTCATCAGTGCAAGTACCGATCGTAAGTTAATTTTTTCAGTGCTGTTGTAATTTTGAACAATCATTAAAATGAAGTCAAGGACTACTCATAAGAGGTACATGGAAGAAACCATAAACAAGGTTAGAAATTATTTGGGGGATGAATGTTAGGTTCACCACATTCCATGCTCCTCAAATTAGCTCTAGAAATTGGACTGAACGTAGAATACATGTGCAAGAGTCACAGGAACACTCCAATTCCTGGATCTATTTATAGCAGCAGTCCCCAACCTTTCCACCTTGGTGGCCACGGTGGAGAGAGGGAGTGTGAGTGGTAGACAAACGTGCGCATGCACAGCTCCATTGGTGCAAGCTGCGGGCGCAGGTACCCTTCATTCATATGAATGAGCTTCGTGCACAAGTACAAGCACTCTTCTCTCAAACGCTCTCCACTTGTCCGAGTGGAGCTTCGTGCATGAGCGCAAGTGCCCACCACTCGCATGAGTGGAGCTTTGCATGCGTGCTTGCCCTTTGCTCGTGTGGCCCATTTTGAAACCTGCTGTGACCCGGTAGTGGGCCGCAGCCTAGGGGTTGGGGACCTCTGATTTATAGATGGAAAAATTCTGGCTCTTCAATTTGGACCTTAGCTCCAATACTTATCCAACAAAACCAACTATCAAAAACAAAAAAGAGATAGCTTCCAGAATCCCTACTACATTCCACTGGTGTCCTAGACCAGGGCTTTTCAACCTTTTTACCCATTGTACCACTTTTAGGATATGGCAATATCCAAGTACCACCAGTCGCCTAGGAAGATGTCAAAAACTTGATGACAAAACAAAAGGAAAAAAGTGATAAAGTACAGGTAGTCCTCAACTTACAATAGTTCGCTTAGTGAGTGTTCAAAGTTACAATGGGACTGAAAAAAGTGCCCCCCAAGCCACAGCTGAGCAAGACGCCTGCCTGCCCACCCGGCAGCACTCTTCCTCCTGTCCGAGGTGTTCATTGTTGTGAGCATTTCTGTTGAGGATTGGCAGCGGGGGTGGGGCGGGGGGTGTTTGGTTTTTATTCCCGTCTGCTGGGTGGTTGCAGTAGGTTTTGGTCACGTCACATGACCCTGGGACACTGAGACCGTCATAAATATGAATCAGTTGCCAAGCATCTGAATGTAAATCAGAAGACCCTGGAGATGCTGCAACATTCCAGCATATTGGCGCTTCTTCTGGGCTCAGCAGAAGCACCAGGATCAGCGCCGAGCTCCAACTGGAGCCTGGCGTTGATCCTGGCGTTTCCACTGAGCCCTGACAGCCCTGAAGAAGTGCCGATCAGCTGGAAAGCGGCACTGATCCTGGTGCTTCCGCTGAGCCCTGACAGCCTTGCAGCTCCAGCCATCTCTCACTTAGGCTTGTGCGGTGCTGCCACCGGTTCAGCTCATTCACCTCCCCCGCTACCACTTTTTTAGGATGGTCGCATACCACCTGCCAGGTGCCAATGTACCATAGGTGGTACCCGTACCACTGGTTGAAAAGCCCTGTCCTAGACAATGCACTTCCTGAAAAACAAACAGCCTTGAATGTCTATCCTGACGAATAAATACAGTTGTTGTACTCAGAAAACCATCTCCTGTACCTCACCTGCTGGATTGAGGCATACACCACTCACCTGCACAGCCTTGATGATAGCAATGATGCCAGTGGGCCAGAAGCAGCAGATGGTGGTGAGGACAGCGATGGGAAGATAATCGTGCGGTGGGCGCCGGGGTTCCAAGATGGCGATACCAGGCGTCATCTGTGTTGGGGAGAGAGCTGGTGGTGGAGGTTGGTTGGCCTGAGAGTAGGACTGGAAAGAAGAATCAAAAAGCTAAAGAAACCATTCGTTCATTCATTCATTCATTCATTCATTCATTCATTCATTCATTCATTTAACTTAACATCAAGGAAAACAATTTTCAGCAAGTAGAAGAAGAATACTTTATGGAATGTACCACTTGAAACTGCAGGTGGAGTGTTGCAATCTTGAGTGTTTCCCCATCCTCCCCCCCCCAATAGTTCAGTGGTAGATTCTGCAGGTAAAAGATTGCAGGTTCCAAATTCTGGTATCTCTAAGGTGGGGGAAAGATATTAGAAATGAAATTCTCTGATCAGCCTGGGCAACAGTTGGAGAGTCTAGGAGTTGTAGTCCCAACACATTGGAAGAGCACAAAGTTGGGGGAAGTGGGGAAGTGGGGAAAGCAACTAAGATTAGATTATTATTTAACAACAGTTTGCTGAATAGACCACAATTGGCTGACCACAACTGGAGTGGATGCTCCAACACTGGAGGTTTTTTAAGAAGAGATTGGACAACCATTTGTCTCAAATGGCGTAAGGTTTCCTGCTTTCCTCCGCTAAGCAAATCTTGTTCACATGACGGTGGGAAATGCTGCAATGGTCGTAAGTGCAAAGACCAGTCATAAGTCAGTGCCATTGTACTTCTGAACAGTACCTAAACAAATGGTTGTAAGTCAAGGATTACCTATACTGATGTTTTTAATCTCTGTTCCCTCAATCACTTGTACAAGTTGGCTGGCCATTTGAATTGAATCAAATCAAATTGAATTGAATTTGAGGTTTTAAATATGGAGGCACCCCAAAAAAAGAAATCCCAGTTGAATGTCCTAATGATCAGAACCATGTTAGAAATGTTTAACACTGCAGTAAATAAATCAACTGGGAATAATTAACGGGTGAGAAGCAAGCAAGGAAAAATTGCAAAATTCTCTGTCTGCAGCTAGCAAGGACAGCGAAAAAGAACTCAAATCGTGCTTTGCTGCTAACGGCGAGAAACTCCTTCGCCTTCTAAAATTCTGGTCAATGGAAGGCAAGCAATGAGTGGCATTTTAAATATTAGTAGTAAAAATCATCCATCCACTTTTCAGTGCAATCCAGCTGCCTGCATTTATTCTCTGGGCTCCTCCTCTCTCCCCCCACCCCCATTTCTGACTGCGGGCCTGATAAAAGAAGACAAATTAGCTGTTCTTTTAAGGAAGCTTGTTTGCTCTGCATGCAAAAAAGACAAAACACCACCTACAAAGAGCACATAATTAATACGTGTCAGGAGTGATACAAAGGCCTAGCCGCATAAACAAGATTAACATGGTTTTCAGTTCTAAGGGTACATGAAGTCTCAGATGCCCTTCCCCTGAATGGCACCAAGAGGAGGGGATGAAAAGCTGAACTGGGTACTCCCAAACAAGCCCCAGCCTACAGGCTTGCTTATATCCATACATTGTTTTTAGCTGCAGTTTTTTAAAAAAAAAATAGAAATAGATGGATTCACATATTCCACTCAGGCTGTTTTGACTTAACAGGATGTCTGCATCCAACTGCAGGGGTTTCTAAGGCAGTGGTTCTCAACCTTTTTAATGCCGCGACCCCCAACCGGTCGTAAGTCGAGGACTAAACCGGTCGTAAATTGAGGACTAAACCGGTCATAAGTCGAGGACTAAACCGGTCGTAAGTCGAGGACTTTCCCTGCCCGGGAGCGCCGCGCATGCATGGTTCCGCCCCCTGCGCCGGCCGAGGCGTAGCTGGCAAGCGGCAGAGACGGAGCAGGCCGACCACCAGCTGGCCCAGCCCAAGGGAGGTAAGGCACCCGCCGGAAAAGGGCCTTGGCGACCCCCATGAAATGGTTGATCGACCCCAAATGGGGTCGCGACCCATAGGTTGAGAACCGCTGTTCTAAAGGAAACAGTAGCTTATGGTTTGGTGTTATGCATCAAATAAGTCCCTTTTAATTATAGCAAAAGGAACACAATTGAAAGAAATAATGGCTTCGCATAAAGGACAAATGATAGTTTCTTTAAACTAAAGCTAGTAAGAGGGTAAGGTTATTTCTCTAAAACATGATGGCTATATTTTAGAGGAAGGTTGTCCTTTACTAATCAAACTGCTGGGAAATATAAAAACAAAAAAAATCATATTGCCTTGGGTTGTTATATGCTCAAAGATTGGAAGAGGAATATTATGAAAACTGATCAAGGAGACAATCCACCTAGAACTAAGGAGAAACTTCCTGACAGTGAGAAGAATCAACCAGTGGAACAGCTTTGCCTTCAGAAGTTGTGGTTGCTTCATCACTGGAGGTTTTTCAGAAGAGACAGGACAGCCACTTGTCTCAAATTGTATAGGGTCACCTGCTTGAGCAAAGGGTTGGATTAGATCAGGGCTTTTCAACCTTTTCACCCATTGTACCACTTTTAGGATATGGCAATATCCGAGTACCACCAGTCGCCTAGCAAGGTGCCAAAAATTTGATGACCAAAAAAAAGGAAAAAAGTGATAAAGTACAGGTAGTCCTCAATTTACAACAGTTCGCTTAGTGACTGTTTGACGTTACAATGGCACTGAAAAAGTGCCCCCCAAGCCACAGCCGAGCAAGACACCTGCCTGCCCATCCAGTGGCACTCTTCCTCCTGTCCGAGGTTTTCATTGTGAGCATTTCTGTTGAGGATTGGCACCGGGGGTGGGGTGGGGGGTGTTTGGTTTTTATTCCCCCCATCTGCTGGGTGGTTGCAGCAGGTTTTGGTCACTTCACATGACCCTATGACACTGTGACTGTCATAAATATGAATCAGTTGCCAAGCATCTGAATGTAAGTCACAAGACCCTGGAGATGCTGCAACATTCCAGCTGATTGGTGCTTCTTCAGGGCTCAGCAGAAGCACCAGGATCAGTGTCGAGCTCCAGCTGAAGCCTGGCGCTGATCCTGGCGCTTCTACTGAGCCCCAACAGCCTCAAAGACGCGCTGATCCTGGCGCTTCCACTCAGCCCTGACAGCCCTGCAGCTCCAGCCATCTCTCACTCAGGCTTGTGCGGTTCTGCCACCGGTTCAGCTCATTCTCCTCCCCCGCTACCACTTTTCTAGGTTGGTCGCGTACCACCTGCCAGGTGCCAATGTACCACAAATGGTACCCGTACCACTGGTTGAAAAGCCCTGTTCTAGGTTGTTTCTCTCCTTGATTAGTTTTCATCCGTTGCTTCTCGTCCTGCCTTCAGGCGCTTTGGAGAATAGCTTGACTCCCTCTTCTTTGTGGCAGCCCCTGAGATATTGGAACACGGCTATCATGTCCCCCGTCATCCTTCTCTTCGTTAAACTAGACATACCCAATTCCAGCAACCGTTCCTTATTTGTTTTAGCCTCCAGTCCCCTAATCATCTTCGTTGTTCTTCTCTGTACTCTTTATAGAGTCTTCTTAGAAGATAAGGAGAAAAATCAACTTTGGAATTTGGAATTTGAAGATTAGTTTGGACTGGATTAGAGAAATATCACTGCTTTTTAAACATAAGGTTATTCAGATTTAACAATTTAATAATTGTTAGATTAGAGTTAAGACAAGAATATTTTGTGAATATTGAGTGCTGATTGCTATTTAAATTTAGAGGAAGATTGCTGTATGGTTATTTTCGTCGGAGTAAAAGAAAGTCGTAGCCTATCTTTATTATAAATACATTTGTTGTACTGTTTTTTTCCTGTCACTTTTAATTTGTATCGTTATTCCTTTTCCTTTCTCCCTGTCTTTTCTAATAAAGGGCATACTACAGTCATACCTCCAGAAATCATGGTTCTCGTTGCATCTGCACTAACTCATATCTGCAGGGTAAAGAGGCAGTCCTTGACTTGCAACCTTGCAACCGTTCATTCAGTGGCTTTTCAAAGTTGCAAAGGCATTGGAAAAGGTCACTTACAGGCGGTCCTCACATTTACAACCATTGCAGCATCCACAGGGTCACATAATCAAAATTCAGGTATTTGGCAACTGGCACATCCAGGTAGTTCTCATCTTACAACAGTTCATTTAGCGACCATTCAAAGTTACAACGGCACTGAAAAAAGTGACTTAAGACTGTTTTTCACACTTATGACCGTTGCAGCATCCCCATGGTCGTGTGATCGAAATTCACACACTTGGCAACTGACTCATATGTATGACGGTTTTGCAGTGTCCCAGAGGGGGTCATGTGATCCCCTTTTGCGACTTGCTGACAAGCGAAGTCAGTGTGGAAGCCAGATTCGCTTAACAACCACATCACTAAGTTAAGAACTGCAGTGATTCACTTAACAACTGTGGCAGGAAAGGTCATAAAATGGGGCAAAATTCACCAGTGTCTTGCTTAGAAACAGAAATATGGGGCTCCATTGTGGCCGTAAGTCAAGGACTACCTGTATTTACGACAACTGCAATGTCCCTGGATCACGTGATTGCCATGTGTGACCTTCTCAACTGGCTCCTGACAAGCAAAGTCAATGGGGGAAGCCAGTTTCACTTAATGACACAATTCAATTAACAACTGCAGTGATTTGCCTAACAACTATAAACAGAAATTCTGATCCTAACCGTGGTCTTAAGTCGATGACTACGAGTGAGAAAGTCCCAAACTAATGTAGGTAGTCCTCGACCTATGACCACAACCGAACCCAAAATTTCGGTTGCTAAGTGAGCCAGCGGTGTTTTGCCCAATTTTACGATTTTTCTTTACATAGTTGTTAAGTGAATCACGGCAGTTGTTAAGTTAGTTCCACAGTTGTGAAGTGACTTTGGCTTCCCCCGTTGACTTTGCTTGTCAGACGGTCGCAAGAGGGGATCACATGACCCCTGGGGACACTTCAACCGTCATAAATATGAGTCAGTGGCCAAGCATCTGAATTCTGATCGTGTGACCCTGGGAATGCTGCAACGGTCTTAAGTGTGAAAAACGGTCATAAGTCACTTTTTCCCATGCGCCTTGTAACTTCGAATGGTTACTAAATGAGGCTAAATGAGGCTAAAACATAAGGAACGGTTGCTGGAATTGGGTATGTCTAGTTTAACGAAGAGAAGGACGAGGGGGGACATGATAGCCATGTTCCAATATCTCAGGGGCTGCCACAAAGAAGAGGGAGTCAAGCTATTCTCCAAGGCGCCTGAAGGCAGGATAAGAAGCAACGGATGGAAACTAATGAAAAAGAGAAGCAACCTAGAACTAAGGAGAAACTTCCTGACAGTTAGAACAATTAACCAGTGGAACAACCTGCCTCCAGAAGTGGTGAATGCGCTAACACTGGAAGTTTTTAAGAAGAGACTGGACAGCCATTTGTCTGAAATGGTATAGGGTTTCCTGCCTGAGCAGGGGGTTGGACTAGATGACCTCCAAGGTCCCTTCCAACTTCATTATTATTATTATTATTATTATTATTATTATTATTATTATTATTATTATTATTATTATTATTATTATTATTATTATTATTATTACTACTACTACTACTACTACTACTATTACTACTATTACTATTACTATTGTAAGTGGAGGACTACCTGTAAGAAAGTCCCAAACTAACACAACCCCAAGAAGCTCTCTGGTTATCCGACTGAGCATAAATACTCACCGCCCCTACAGGGTAGACCGGCACATATGCCGTACAAGGCTGTAGCTGGACTGGGTACCCCGGGTGCATGTAGCCTCCGATGGGGAGGGTCCCGACAGGTGGGTGCGTCTGCACGACGTAGCCCTGGGCGGCTCCGTTGAACTGAGTTTCCTGCATGTAGGGGTCAGGGGGGAGGCGGGGGAGGGTGGCGGAATGGTGGCGGGGCGGGCGCGGGAGGGTGGCTGATGTGGGGGGAGGCCGGGGGAGAGTAGCAGCCCCTCCAAGCCGGGGCAAAGTGGCTGTTCCCGAATGCACGACCGTCGCAGAGGAATCACTGTATCCCGGGATGGGGGCATCCTGGGGAGGGGGAGGGGGAGGTTGCAAAGGGTTGTTGTAGGGTGGCGGAGAGGTGTGTGGGGCAGAATCAGGAAGTCCTGAAAGGGGAGGAAAAAAGAGAGAAAGGAGTCAAGATAAAAGAAAACACCAGAAGTTACATGTCAGCGACGAAATGTTCTCAGCGAAGGAAAAGCCAGGGAGAACTTGGTCAAAAGCCATGTGGTTATATTTGTTCCTGTTCTGTCGACACTCGGTTTCCCTGCCTGATCTATTCTGCATCCAAAACACAAGTGTACCCATCCAAATAGATATTTTAAAACCCAACTCCTGAACTCTCCCAAACATTAGCAGCAGACTCTACAGGCAGCTTGCAATCTGCTGCGCCATTCCAGCGTTCAAAATGCAGATAAAAACAGCAACCGAGACAGATTCT